CGTGCGTGTAGTCACGAAAGTCCCTGAGGCGTGTACTATAACGCGGGGAATTGTGCCGTCCTGAGGCGTGTACTTTAACGCGGGACGATACCCGGTATTACCGGAAGACTGCCAACCTGAGACGTGTACTTCAACGTGGGTTGTGCCGTAGGTGGTGGATGTTGAGCCTGAGACGGTACTATAACGCGGGCAAGAGGCATAGCCTGAGGCGGTACTGTAACGCGGGCTAAGAAGTGTTGTGAATATGAGATGATCGCAGTGGACCTGAGGCGTGTATTGTAACACGGGTCACTAGCGAGTCGAGTGAAAATAGTGTGATGAGGCATGAACGAGTGTGTGGAATGTGGAATTGGAAATGCCATGTGTTCGACTTGTGTTTCGGGCATGAAATTAATTTGGAATGTGTATGTGATTGGAAATTGTATATTTGAGACTAACCTGCAGATTGCGCGTATCAAAAGCCCAGGTAAGTGCAAATTGTGTGCCTATTATGTGATCGTTGAATGTGATTAGGTTTGGACTTGTCTGGAGGTACGTGTTAGCCGAGGTGGGGTTTAGGGTGTGTACTTGCTAAAACGTGTTCTCATGGTTGTTTCAACCAAACAATTTCAGAACCTCGGTCTAAAACATGAATCTTCCACCGCCACCGCCGGAGCGTTTTGGTATACCGATGCACACCGACCATGCAATTGTCGAGTATCCGATAGATGAGAACATGACTTGGATTAAGCATACTACGGTAGTCTGGGTAGACATAGGGCAACCCCTTTGGCAGGCCCACACTTACACGACCTGGTGTTTTCGGGATGGGCTGGATGAGTTTGGCCCTGTTAGAGATTTTGATGTTCCGTTTGACGGAGTAGGGGATTGGGATCCGTCAGCCATACCCCCTCCCGATGGTGATATGACTAGCCTGGATACTAGTCTCACACAGTCCGGACATTAGCCCGCACCTGCAGCACCCGAACCTTCAGTGACTAAGCCTGATCCGGAGTCGGAGGAATCACAGGCAGGGTATGATCCAATGGATGTGGATCTAGATGTAGTGCCGAAAGAAGAACCTGAAGAAGAAGAACCCGAAGAAGAGTCTGAGGAGGCACCAGAGGAGGAACAAGCAGAAGATCCAGAGGTGGCACCAGAGGATGAACCAAAGGAAGGGCCAGAAGAGGAGTCTGAAGAGGAGGAGCGGATTGAGGTTCAAGTAGAGTCGGGTGATGAGGACAACCCGATTGAGATCGAGGTGGATACGGAGTCTTCCGAGGAGCAGGATGATCAGGGAGTTTCAGATTTGGATTCCGGGGAGACTGAATCGGAGTGGACGCCGTCTAGAGGGCGTAGGGGCTAGTTTAGGGGTAAGATAAACCTTTTGAAGTGTCCCATTTTTGGAATTAGGGTATGCCCAGGCTACTGATTTTTTTTATATCGGTGGTGTATAGTTTAGAAGTTCGGTGTGCATGTATATTATGTGGAATGTAAATGGCGGATATTGTATAAGTTTGTAATGGTAATGGAAGTACATTCTCCCTTTTATCCCTAGTCAAATATTGTCCGGGTGTTTGTGGCTTTCGTTGGTACTTCATATCTGATGTGTGGGGTCGACGACTTCCTGAGACGTCGCGATATTCGACCATAGAGGTATGTCACGGGCTCGATGGGGTTCGGGGCGTGACAGTGAAGCCATCGTCGAGGATAAGTTAGAATCGTATGTTCTAATTTATTTGGAAGAAACATATGTCACATTCAAAATAGCATGCTCATTTGCACCGATGCTCTTCCTTGAGAACTCTATTCTCTGACCAGGAGAAGATGCTTGGACTCGGCAAGAAAAGAGCAACTAAGACATCCAACGCTTTATCCACGCATTCGGACGTAGCTGCTATGTTGAAATCGCCTAATTGGGAAACTTTATCGAGATCAGTATATGAGTGACTCGTAGAGGAAAGAGTATGGGATCATAAAATCTTCTCTAGGAAGGCAAATTCTATGGTTTTAAGAAGGAACTCAATGGCTAGGTATTCACGGAGGAAATTAAGTTATAGAGACAAGGTTTTTGGCGTGACCGAATGCTGATCAGCTGTTCACCTTCACCCCGTGATCCAATCTCCTCTTTCTTCTCCTCCCCCCTCCAAGCTGCGTCTTAGGCTGCGCAACCGACCGCCACCATCTCTGCCCATTGTCTTTACCGCCTTCCCCTCTTCTCTGTTCTCGCCCTCCTGTTGTTTTTTCTTAGTTTTTGTGCATGCAGCCGTCGCCTCTTCTCGGTGGCTAGTCCATGGTCATCAGAATCTCGGCCATGCCATCGGACCTCGTGGCCATGGACAAGCCGCCTTGCCAGATCTGGAAACTCGAGGCTTAGGCTCGACGACAAGAATAGAGAGGGGGTTAGGTCAACACCGGAATCCATTGGCCAAGGCTCAGCTCAGCTTCCATGGCTTGGAGTTGCCGGCCGAGTCTTAGCTGAAAGGCGGCGTGGAGCTCAACCAAAGAGATGATTTAGAAAGAGGGACGGGGGCTACGAGGATGAAGACCGTGGGAGTGAACTTGCCGTTGGCTGCGGCAGCGACAGTGGGAATGGAGTGGCGAGGATGGATGTTGCAGCAGCTCGGGCACACCAAATGTCGAAGCATTCTGGTTTGCTTTTGTGGAAAGGGAGGAGAGAGAGAGAGAAGGATTAGATTTAGGTGCTGGGGATACATTAGATTTAGGTGTTAGGATTACATCCTTATAAGTTTTTGATGATTTGAAAACTATAAGTACAATGTTAATATCAAAATGGACTCTGATGATATCAATGATCTATATGAGCTCGATGAAGACCAAAACAAATATCTTAACAAAGGGAGAAGAAATTTCAATATGACGAGATGAAGACTTGGAGATAGCAGGGTCGACCTTTGGTCCACATAATGTCTCTGAAGGCAAATATACTTAAAAGGAACATTGGATAAACAATCGCAAGTCCTTTTTCACGGATTAACCGTGGATAGCATCACCAGATTGATGATACCGAGCACATGCTAGTAGTGAGCACTAAATTGTGTTGATATTGATAACCTGTTCATCTGAAGATGACCGTTGAACGAAGAAAACATAGACGTTAATGGGCTGATTTTAGGAGCAACACTTACTGATTGTAACTTATCTCGAAGATTACTAATGGAATCCAACTTGTGTTGAGGCTGTCTTCTGAAGAGTGGGCGTAGATTTGAGGAAAAAGTCGAACTACTATAAATTGCTTTGTATTTTACATTTCACATTTATCATTACCAGCATCATTAGTACCATTTGCGCATAATTCTTTAATCTTTTTCTGGTGCTGTTGAGATGCATCTCATTATATTACATGAAAAGAGTTTCAAAATCTTGACACAATCTATTCACCAAACTCTAGATTGTATTATTAGTCCCAACATTAGAGAATTTTGATATGGTGTGGATGAGACGAAAAGGTAGCGGGCATAATGACATATATCAGTGCCATAACTTATACGGCGTCCATTTTGATGCCAAAACTTTTCAATCGATCATTTAAGTGACGCAACTTTTGAATAATGATCACTTAAGAGACTTTGGTGATGCAAAATCTGATATGGCTTATGAAGTTACTTAAACGGGCCTTTTTAAAAAGTTTGGCATTAAATTGATCATTCATAAAGTTTTGGATTATTAAATGCATCAATTTTCCAAATTTGGGAAATTGGGGTCAGATTAGCTTGCCAAACATTCCAAGCATTTATTCTCCTAGTTAATCAAAGAGAAGCAATCCTTTCCCACAAGTCTCCAAGCTATATTATTTAGTCTCAAAACAGAGCAAGGTCAGAGAAGTTACCAGAGTTGAAGAAAATTTTACTTACTTCCTTTTTCTTTTCTTTTTTGATTTTTTTTGTTTTAAATGAAATAATTTGGAGAGAATGTTTATTCTCTTATTTTGCTTTTGAGTTTAACTAAAAGAAAAAGAAAGAGAAAAATAGTGGCAAAGTCGAATATTGGCTTTGTGATTTTTGCTTTTGGCTCGTGTCGCCGTTTAGACAAATTTCTAATTTTAAGATTTCAGACTTAAAATTTTATAAATGATGAATTTAATACCAAAACTCTATGAACGGCCAATTCAGTGAGACCTCCATTTAAGTGGCTTTAATGAGCCGCAGAGCCACTTAAATGATCGCAATCCAAAAGTTTTAGCACTAAAATAGAGGAAAAATTCTTCAAAAAATCATAAACTTTTTAATTATACATTGAGTCCTAAACATTTTTACGTTTTCCCAATTAAGTTCATCCGATCAATTTTAGCGGAAATCATTGACTTGAACGCCAGCGGTCCTACGTGACACGACCAGTGCTAACATGGATAATTTTTAATAATATTTTTTTTATTTTTTCCCTTCCTTTTTTTTTTCCACTGGTGGGCCGGAGGTGAGGGTCGTGGCCTTTACTTGTGGCTAGCAATGGTCGGCCGGTGAGAGTTACAAGAAAAAAAATAAAAAATAAAAAATATAATTCTATAAAATATTAAAATATTATTAAAAATTATCTATATTAGCGTCGTCCGTACCACGTAGGATGACCGACGTTCAAAATTGGCCAAATGGACTCAATAGATATAATGCGAAAAGATTTAAGAGTCAATCGGTATAATTAAAATGCTTAACACTGAATTGCCAAAAAGTATAATAGATTTATAATTTTTTTTAATAATTTATCACCAAAATAGGCACTTTACAAAAGTCGTGACACGGACGCCGCCGCCGCCGCGTGTCATCAACTTGTATGCTAAGATAGCACACGGGTTCACTCTCTCAAAGACGACGAGGACAAATAATAATCGAGAACAATAATCAAATTGGGGGGGGGGAAAAACGGTACCAAGGAATCATTTTCCTCTCTCGACTCGCTCAATTACCGGAGGAAAAAAAAATAAAAACATATATATAAATAAAAAAATTGAAAAAAAAAAAAGAAGAAAAAAAACAAATCGTCCGCGTCACCATTATTCTCTCCCTCGCTAAGCAACCGCGCTCCCTCCCTCCCTCCTCATCATCTTCTTCTTCCCCCGCCCCCCGATCCATCCATCGGTCTCCCTTCTACAAGAACCTTCTGCCAAGAAAACCCTAAGCGCGATGCACGAGACGGAGCTCCACGACCTCTCCGACGACGCCGATTACGCCTCGGCCGCCTCGCAGCTCCAGGCAATCAATCCATCCCCCTCCTCCTCCCGTTTTCCGTTTTCTCGACGGCCGTCGCTCGATCGCCGCCCGCATATGGCGTCGCGATCGCCGTGCTCTGCCAATCGGGACGGATCGTCGGTTGGTCTTTTGAATGATTCTCGGTCTGCTTTTGCGGTTTCCCAGGGATCGGTGAGCATGGAGCGGAGCGACAGCGCCAAGACGAGCTCGTCCGCCGAGCCGGAGGGCGCGGAGGTGGTCTATGCGAAGGATTACGTGTCGATTCACCCGTCGCAGCTGGCCTCCGAGAGGATCAGCGGGAGGTTGAAGTTGATTAAGCAAGGGCCGTCTCTTTTGCTGGTGAGCTCGGTCGATCGGTCTCGCTTGTCGTGTCGATCGTCGGGAATGATCGTTTTCTTGTTGCGGGCGGTTGATTCCTTGTCTTTTTTTTTTTTTCTTAATCTGTGCGCTGTAGACCTGGATACCCTACAAAGGTCAGGACTCGAACGCTAGGCTGTCTGAGAAAGGTACTGTGCAACTTCCCTTTTTTTGGGTCTTCGTGATCTCATTATGCATGGGGATGTAGTTTCTGAGACCGTTTCCTTGTCGATTGTTGTGCAGATAGGAATCTTTATACGATCAAGGGGATTTCTTTCTCCGATATCAGGTCCATCCGTCGCCACAACCCGACGCTCGGGTGGCAATACATCATCGTCGTTATGTCCTCAGGTAAAGAACCGTGCAAGTATGCAGTGTCTGCCTTAAATTTCTTATTCGCGGATCGGCTAATGTAATTGCCACGCCAGGAAACGCTCTATTGACGACATTAGGGAGCTTTGGTATCTGATTGACCTGATGCGTCGTAATTTCTGTCTTGGGGGAAAATCCATGGAAAGCAATTGAATAACTGGTTTTCCTGTCTGTTTTATTGGTGAAATTTCATTGTGAAGACGAAAATGTCAAGGAAAGTATGATCTTCAAATCTACCAAAATTGTTTTCTGCAAAGAATGCGGATAGTGTATATTTGTGGCTTTGCACAGTTTGTCGACTATTTTTCAGCTTGTCCATAGACGTCGTCTTTTATTATTAGAAATCTGAAGTTGAGAGCTGTTCAATGATTCACTCATTCTCTTGAGGTCATCTTTTGGTTCCAAATAGTATGTCCTTGTTGAGCATTCCTTATAAGCTGAGCATGACACAGAGAGGATGTCAAAGCAATAAGACAGCTTGAGAGGGTTTTTGCTGTCTGAAAATTATGTTCGCTCGTTTAAGCTAGTAAAGAAAGCATGCTGTTGTTCGATGTAGGAGGAGAGACTCTGCTTCTTCAAGATGATCTTCGATTTTGACATGAATATCTTAATTTTAACTCTGTAAAGCAGTATTCAGTTTTGGAGAAATTGGTCTCAACAAACCTGATGATGTTCTATTTCTTTCCAACAAATGACCTTGTCCAGCAAAATCAGACTCTTCTTGGTATGCATTGTGTGATTGACAGTAATCTGCAGGACTTGCATATCCTCCTCTTTACTTCTATAGTGGAGGAGTCAAGGAGTTTCTTGCGACAATAAAGCAACATGTTTTTATTGTGAGGTACATTAGTCCTTGATTTCCTTTTGTTGGTAACTCGAGTTCTCAAATAATACTTGTTTAATCTCTGTATAAGGTACGCAAAGAAGCGGTAATATGTTATACTTGAAAACAAATTGATGTAATAGTCGATAGAGTATGCGCATCTTCTTGAGTCTGATTTTTTGGGGAAAGAGACTAATGGTGTTAATAACTTCTATTTGTTGGAGAGGTCTGCTGTTGACGTAGATATTAAATATGATATGCTGTAAGGGCCTTGGAGTCTATATATGCTGTTTAGTGTTAACACCCAAATTCTGATTTATGTTATTTTTTTAACTTTCTAAAGGAGAGAGAGAGAGAGAGAGAGAGAGAGAGAGAGAGAGAGAGAGAGAGAGAGAGAGAGAGAGAGAGAGAGAGAGAGAGAGAGAGAGAAGTCATCATGATGGTGGAGTGGAGTTATATTTGCTACATTCAGTCGTATAATTCAATTCAAATGTTGCTGTGCTTATGAAAGTACTATAAACACACTACAAGAGGAAAATTTTGAAGGTTTAATGAAGTTTTTCTGTATATTCTGTAAAAGAATGCGCTTAGTGCAACAAGATTGACATTGTTTTGATGATTATAACATCAAATGATGTTTCAGACTAGAGTCTGGCACATAAATATCATCCTTTTCCATGTATTTCTGATTGTTTTGGAGATTATCATGACTTAATCCATAGATTTTACATCTCAATTGATAATCATCAGTTATATCGTCTTCTTTCTTGAGAAAGAAGCCAGTTGGGATGTTGAGCAAGTACCCGTTCATGCAATCTGACTTTCTCTATATCTCTGTTGGGTTTTCTTTTGTTATGTTGACTGAAATATACTAATCCCATCATGTAATAACCTTTCAAAGGTGGTCTCTTTTAAGAAGGAAGTCTAGGATTAAAGAAAGCAGGCTGGTATATTTCATGAATTTTCAGTGACATGTATTTTCTCCCTGTAGTATTGTAGCCGTGCTCGTAGGAGCCTAAGACTTGGAGTAAACATGGTAGTAAAATCATACAAAGTTTAAGAAAGGACAAAGATCAAATTTTTTGACGGCCCATTTGGTGCTTGCGGGCATTACTTTAAGTTCATTTTTATTTTCGGATCTTGAAAATATGTCACCTTTGTTTTTATAGATCTAGGAACCTAGTGGGCAACATAGAGAGAAATTAGTGATTTGACCGTTTACTACTAATACCGATAGACTTAGAATTGCTGATGAATATCTCCTGCGTCACAAATATAGCCCTTCTTTTCCCTGTTGCTTGTTAGTTTCTCTAAGTAAGTGATCCTATTTCAGGTCAGCTGACGATGCCAACGCATTTCTTGTGAACGATTTTCAAAATCCTCTTCAGGTGTGGGTCACTTTGCATTCTCTTGCTTTTATTTGGTTTTGTTTTGGAAAGTACTTTTAGGCATTTAGCCATCCATGTGCGCCTTATGAAGGTACCTGTTCATGAGTACTGGTCAAGGATGATGCCATTTATAACAGATAACAGATAACCTACTGATTGGATTAGAGATTATGGAGATGCAAGGATCCTTATTAGTGTTTCCTTTGTTCTTGGTCAGGCAATAAATTTCAATTAGGGAATAGTACTTTCACTAATGGAATCTTTTCAATGGCTAGAGCGATAGTGGCAACTTAAGTAACTGTCATTCTTCTTTGTTGCTTGACTTTTGAAAGAGGCTATGTTGGCTTGTCAGAGAACTTTATCTTCCTTGGAGCTGCCCAGGGCTGTTGTTGCAAATGGACTCTCTGCATCCACATCAATTTCAGCTCCACATTCTGCTGAAAAACAGCCAATTGATGATGGTAGTGTTAGTGGTGAAGTTGCAAGTTTGTCTTTGTACAATGGGAGGCCAAGACCAAAGGTTCATGATCCTGCTCGGGATCTTTCAATTCAAGTACTGGAGAAGTTCTCTCTTGTGACAAGGTTTGCTCGTGAAACGACTTCACAACTCCTTCGCGAAAGTCTAAACAATGGGTATGGTAATGATAGGAGAGACCATAGCCTGCACCATCATGATTACTCTTACAAGCCATCCACTGAACCAGAGAAAGCTCCTGAGGATGTTCCTGTTGTGCCAGATCCTCTGGAGGTAATTTTCTGCAACCTATGAATAATGATATCACATGCTATAAAACTTCAAATTGTGGAACTGCTGTGTCCTTTGTATTTCTTTAGAGATTTAGTGAAATCTGAGTGCTTCATTATAGTCTCCCCTTTCACTAATGAAGTATATGGTCCCTTACAGCACCAGATTGCAAGTTAGCGCCTTTCTTAAATGAGTCTCAGGTGATTAATTGGCATCATCTTGAATGGATTACTACTGTGTTGATAATTTGACAAAGCTTTCTAAAGGCTCTTCTGACTGTAGAGGCAAAAAAGTCGGTCATGATCATCTTCGCCGATAGGGAACTCGTTTTTTTTTTTTTTATGCGGTCCTGTTGATAAATGTCATGTAACTACCTCATTTACATTGTTTACCGCTGAACTATCGGTTGTACCTCTTCTGTTGCTTTCCTTGCTGCTGTAATCCATTTCTTGGCATATGTACTTTTGTAGTTGTCTCATTTGCAATTTGTTTTTTTTCACTTGCCGTCTTGTATTTCCTGTCTACCTTGGAAACTTGAGTTACTCTTCACTTATTATTTTCTGCACAAATTCTTATGTTGCTTTTTGGCAGTTTGATAAATTATCATTGGTATGGGGAAAACCACGACAGTCGCCGTTAGGGTCAGAAGAGGTATGAACATTGCCCTTCTAGTATAAGTTCTGTCAATTGTTTAAAAGGAATCCATTGATGACGATTTTTTTTCATTCTATGATGTAAATGGTACTTGTCGTCCTGTCTTTTCACATATTAGAGATAGATGAATGCCATGCCTCTTAGCCTTGTTATTTTCTATTGTATTTTCAGTGGGCTACTTTCTTGGATTCTGAAGGACGGGTGATTGATTCAAAAGCACTGAAAAAGAGAATATTTTACGGAGGAGTAGAACACAGATTGAGGAGAGAGGTGTGTATTTTTTTGGTTTGGATGGATTATTAGTATCCTAGTTGTCTATACAGAGTGCTTTTTGGTTTTCTCCATTTTAGCATTTTGCTGGATCATGTGTTGATGTTGTTATAGTAACGTTAATGTTTGCAGGTCTGGGCGCTCTTGTTGGGATACCATGCCTTTGATTCAACGTATGCGGAGAGAGAATATCTTAGGTCGATGAAAAAGTCAGAGTATGAAGCCATAAAACACCAATGGCAGGCATGCATTAATTTCCGCATAACTTCATGCTTTTTGTGCACTTCGTATAAAACACCTCCTGGTGCTGCATGCTCTTTAGTGCCCTTCATGCATATTTCTGCTTGGCTAGGCTTGTGTCTGTGATACTGTGTTAAACTTTAAAAATTTCCAATATTTCTGGGGTTTCATTTGTGTTTTCTTGTAGTGTCATCCTATTGTTACTTTTGCTCCCCATCCTACTGATATCATGGCTCTTCAATAGGTTTTTATCTGTGGTAATTTCTTTCCAGCAGGAGCTGGTTCACTTTCGTCACTGCCTTCTGGATCTTTTTTTTTTTTTTTTGGTCAAAGCCTTCTGGATCTATTTGGGGTTTTTTTTCCATTTTTCCAGTGGGATGACAGAAAAGTGGATAATACAAGTAATCTAATGACATTTACTTCAGTAATCCCATGTGAAATTACTTAATGGTAAGAACATTCTATGGACAACATTTGACAACAAAACGCTGTCACCTAGTTCTTTTATAAATTACAGATTCATTTTTCCTCATAAATAAATAAAAAATGATCTAGGTATAATAAAATGTAGTTACAAATAATAGCTAGTTAGCAGTGCCTCCATTTGTTGAACTATTTCATAGAGAAGAAAATGAAAGAGAAGGATATCAAACCTTCTTTTGGGCTTCAGTATGGCTATGGGAATATCCCATGTGTCTAAATGGGTTACTACATCCAACATTAGTTAGCCTTTTTGATCTAGTTGCTCGGCCATTTGAATATCCTAATCATCCTAGGAACATATCCATATTTCAGTTATAGTCTCTTCGGACAGATTCTATATGAATCATAGAAAGCACATTTGACCATCACCTTTTAGCAAATTGCATTGATTTAGTGATTTGTGATCTAATTGCGAATTAAATCAAATTCATTTAGTGCTTATTTGTTTGCCAATAATTAAAAGTGAAAAGATATTTTTTGCTTTCTCGGCAATATTTAATATAGTCTAAATTTCAAAAAGATTGTCAAAAAGTTACATGTCAATCTATGCAACATGTATTTAGTATGAAAGTTTTAGGTGTTTTGGATGACAAAAAGTTGAAACACATGGAGCCACAAGATTTCGATTAAGCAAAAATTAAAGAGTAAAAGTAAATCTAGACACGCCCTTATCATTTTGAATCTCACAGTTCTTGCTTTTCATACCTATTGAGTTGATCCGTCTTGTTGGTGAGCTGAACAGAAAATCGCCCAATTTGAACTACACTGGTTTCTGATATTCTTCTCTTTTAAAGTAACTGAGTGAGAAGTAGAGAAGAGGCAGTTGTTATACTGTCTTCTTTTAATAATTATATTGCATAATGGCTTAACAAATAACAGTGAACATGTGTGTTAAGAGCTGCTATCAACCAATAAATTCAGGAATTACAAACCTTTGTTCTGGTTTGTAGGCCAAGGCCAGCATGTCTCCTATTATGTAGGGGAAATGAGATTAATGCATATTTATTCACTTGGCAAAGAATCAAAGTACTGTTAATTCTATCTTTGATGAGAATCAGGACCAAACACTTTAATCGTTGTCCTTACTTTTTCAAGAGTAGAGGGTGTATTCACTGAATGGCAATTGTAAATGATGAAACCTTTAAAGAGTGAAGTCTAATAATTGGTGGGTAATTGTTTCCTTTGCATGAGCATTATAAAAGGTGCATTTCTCAATTGTTGCATGCTAAGTATGGTCATGTGAAAGCAATAGCAAAATGATTTCTTTCTGTATGACAGAGTATATCTGCAGAACAAGCAAAGAGGTTCGCTAAGTTCAGGGAGAGGAAAGGTCTTACAGATAAAGATGTGGTAATTGAAGTTTGGTGTGATTTTCCTGTATATTTGCTGCTGCTTGTGGAATTTGATGTGTTTGACTTTTTATCCATCTTCCATATTGAAGGTTAGGACTGATAGGTCACTCTCATTCTACGAAGGAGATGACAACCCAAATGTGAATCTTCTTCGAGATATTTTATTGACCTACTCATTTTACAATTTCGATCTTGGTTATTGTCAGGTAATAGTTCTCACTTACTGCTGTCTGGCGAAACAGCCTGTGTTTGAATGTCTTAAAGCTTTATTTGGCAGTTATTTTGTGGTGGCAGTAATCTTGTGTGTCCTCGCTCCAGAAGGCTAAAGCCTCTGGTGTTTGAATGGTAATTTCGATAGTAACACTTTACTATTCAAGCATCTGGGCTTCACTCGTTTTTCTTTCATGATTGCCAATCGCTGTATTGAATTTACAGTGGTCATCAAAATGTCTTGGTGTAGGTTTGGGTGCATAAAGGATGGTCTTTTGGTTCAACCTCCCTTATCATGTTTGCCTGACAAGGGGGGTGCTTTTTTGCGTCATTACCTAAAAACCCTGTCCTTCAGAGGGTTTTCCTTTAGAACTTAAACTTTAGAAAATTTGAATTTAATAATGAACTTCAATGTCCTTCTAGCCTATTCTAGTAACTTAGTCAGTGTGACCGTTAACTGTTGATGCACTGGCCAACAAGTAGTAGTGGCATGAGGTGGATCAGCCTTCTTTGAATAGATGGAAATTAACCATGTGATGCATTGAAGACATTTGAATCAGAGAGAGAGAGAGAGAGAGTAGTCACGGATCCGGTTACCAACATTCATAGGAGCTAGATTCAATCAACCCTGATGTTATGTAGTCTTATACGTGAAGTAACACTTCGATAGAATTGAAACAAACTTAAATAGGGGTATGATTAAAATAAAAGTACTTAAAATCCTGGGTAGAGTTTTTTGTTTTTCTTGCTTGCTAAACAATCCGGGCTAGAGTTGAGATTTAATTAAGCTTTTTAATCCCCTGTTCACCGTATCAAGTGTTTATGACATTTGCTTGTTTCGATACAAATTGTTTGTTCTTTAAATATGCAGGGTATGAGTGATCTTCTTTCTCCCATATTGTACGTTATGGAGGACGAATCCGAATCTTTTTGGTGTTTTGTTGCTCTGATGGAACGACTTGGACCCAATTTTAATCGAGATCAAAATGGCATGCACTCTCAACTATTTGCATTATGCAAGGTCTCTCTCTCTCTCTCTCTCTCTCTCTCTCTCTCTCTCTCTCTCTCTCTCTCTCTCTCTCTCTCAATAAAAAAAAAAACCCAGAGAATGAACAGTTATCGATGTTGATTAAAGTTTTTATCTGATAATATATGCAGAATATGCTTCTTGAGCGAATTTATTATGTTTTATATGCAAATTAGTTTGGTGCCTGAAATTAACCATGCCCATTAATGCATCACTGATCATCTCCCTTTCAAGTAAAGTGTCTGATACTGAGCATTGCTTCTCGTAAAATAAGGATTACAACGTTGAAATTTTATTCTGCTTGCTGATTGTATATACTCTTGTAAATTTTGCTTCTGGATGACATACGTGAAACTTGGGGACTGAAAATGCTGCTGTAATTTTTGCAGCTGGTGGAGTTGTTGGACCGTCCACTGCACAACTATTTTAAGCAGAATGATTGCTTGAATTATTTCTTTTGCTTCCGCTGGGTTCTGATACAGTTCAAAAGGTAATTTATCTAGAAGATTGTTGCTTAGTCCAAGAAACATGTCGATTCTATTGACAGCTGCAGTGTAGGCTAAATTATAATCCTCTCTTCATCCTTCAAGTAATGTTTCTGCGAGTGTGCATTTCAGTTTTTTTCCCCTTACCTCAGATACTTCCAAATGTCAATATTTTTCTCTTGACCAATAAAATGATTTGGTGGTTTGTGTTGTCACTTTCTTAATGTTTGATCAATGAAGACTGGACTTACAAAATTCTGGGACCTACTTTTTGCTAGTTTTTTAAGAAGATTCCAAGCTTTTTCAGCATCCATTGGTTTTATCAGTGCAATTCTGTTTTATCAGTGCAATTCTGTTTCTATATGCTTATCGATAGAATCATTCTTACCAGCTGCATAACAATTTGTTGCTGTTTTGGTAGAATCATGTTGCACATCTGAAAATGTTTGTTTTTCGCGAGTTGAGGAACAAAATATGCTGATCTATGTTCATTTCTTTTGTACCTGCTCTCTTTTCTTTCCTCCTGATTACTTTTTGCACTTTCAGGGAATTTGAGTATGAAAAGGTAATGCGCCTATGGGAGGTTTTCTGGACACACCACCTGTCAGAGCATTTACACCTGTATGCTTGCGTCGCAATCTTGAAGCGGTACCGCAACAAGATAATGGGCGAGCAGATGGACTTTGATACGCTCCTGAAGTTCATCAACGAGTTGAGTGGCCACATTGATCCTGATGCAATCCTTAGGGATGCAGAGGCATTGTGCATATGTGCAGGTGAGAACGGCGCTGCTTGCATCCCACCTGGAACCCCACCTTCGTTGCCTATCGAAAGTAGCTTATTATACCCTCAGCAGGATGACGACGTCTTGTAGATGGGCTATGCTGCCTTTGCCGATTACTAATTAGATTTGTTTTCTCGTATTATGAAGGGGACCTATATTTCCTTTAAGTGATTTAATTGTCGAAGCCTGTACAAAAATAGCAGATTGTATAAAGCGGACTAGCAATTCACTCTTTCAGCTTTCCTGTCTGTAGTGAGGTTAAAGTGCAAATGCATGATCATCTCTGAGCCTGATTACGAGTCTGAGATGATGCGATGACGAACCTTCTTGCTTACCATGAGCACTTTAGTCTGTGCATAAATCATCTCAGAGCAGTCCTTGCCCAGTAAAACCTTTCATCCTGATTTGATGGGGAATGCACTTGATGAAATGTCAGACTCAGTAAACTCTCATTTTTTATGGACCCTCGGCCTGCAAATTTCAAAGGTTACTCGAGCTTTAGCATATTTCGGTACTTAAGACTTTGGACTCCGCCGTGGCGGGTGAGAAGTTCTCTTGTTCCCGTCACACAGATAATTTCAATGGTACAGTCCTGCATATGCGCGGCTTTTCTTGCAATGACTTTAAAGACGAGAATCTCGAGTGTGTGCACGTTCCTAGTTTATGATGCACACCCGGTGAAGATGTTTGTATCCGGTGGGAGCGGGAACTAGACATGAGTAGTCATGCCGAGAGGTCTGTGTCGATGTGCATGCATATTGGTGTACGATTAGAGTTTTTTCATCCAACGGTACTTTAGGCTTGGGCGTCCTCTCATTTCCCCGTATTAGTAGTAATGAATGGTGTATCTTATGGTGGCAACTGTCTTTTATTAATAAGGTTGTACCTTCGGGATTCATATTCTCGAATCGAGCCAAAAGGGATGCGCTTTGCTTGATGTTAATCGTGTCTCTAAAAGGGCTGAACTTGGAGATGTTGCTTAGGCTTTTTGTTCCTCTTTGTTTGTGGATAACCAAGAGGCCAGTGCAGGCTTTAAGTATTAATGCATCCTGTGTTTGTTGGGAATTTCTGAGGTACGATGGTGTAGAGTTTCCGCAATTTTTTTTTTTATGACTCTTATATTTGATTACGACGAATCATTATTGAGTTACGACACCACTTCGTGATGTTATAAGTTACACCCGGTGTACCATAAAACTGCCCATGTTTGAATCAATAGAATTAAGCCTCCAAGACTTTAATTTGATCTAGTCTTTTTTTTTTTTTGGAAAAATTGTCCAAAAAGTTCTAAACCTATTATACAGCGGCCAATTTAATCATAAACTTTTCAATTGAACCAATTTAGACATAAAACTTTTGACGAGTTGCCAATTTAGTCCTAAATCTTTTGAAGATTTGCTAATATAATCCTTCCAGCTAATTATCTCAATAGTTGATTATTGGTTTATGACTGAATTGACAAATTTTCAAAAGGTTTAGGACTAAATTGACATATTTAAAAGGTTTAAGACTAAATCGGCATATCGTCAAAAATGTTTAGGACTAAATTGACACAATTGAAAGGTTCAGAACTAAGTTGGCCGCCGTACAATGGGTTTAGGATTTTGTGGATAATTATCCCCCAATTTTTTTCCTCTTTCTTTAGTTTGTTGGTCACATGTGCGAGCACAGGAGAGAGAGAGAGCTTTCTGCAGAAGGTCCTGGAATATTGCATATGCTAAAGGTGCATCAATAAGTCCAATCATAACAAAGAAAAAACGTCCTTGCTATCATAGGGCCAGCGAAAAAGTGATGCTCGATTTCCTAAATTGAAGCTCACATTTCAGTCATCCGGGCCACAAATCTCTTAGTCTAGTCGAGGGTTGATGATGTACCGTTTGAACAACAGCACAGGTATCACATCACACCTGAATCTCTTCATATCTTTGCAATCCAAACGCTTCAGACAAAAACAAAGGAATCCAACCAGGGCACAAGCTGCTCGTCATCAAAGACAAGTGGCGCGGAATAATTGCTCACCGGCATCGACAGCGGCGATCCCATGTCGCAGCCGTACACGAATCTCTCTCCGTCTTCCAGTCTCTCTTCTTTCCTTCCCGTCGTCGTCGATTCTGTTACGTCGAGGTCATTGCTTCCGTTGTGAACTAGTGGTGGAGGAGTAATGGACTGTGGACACGGTACGTCCTTGGTTGCATCGGCGGCCAATGCGGTGCGGATGTTCTCGTCCTCGCGGCGTCCATTAGAGACGATGTTTTTCCTTTGTCTCTTGGTCAAATGGGTGTTCCAGTAGTTCTTCACTTCGTTGTCCGTACGACCGGGAAGCCGCCCAGCAATTAGTGACCATCTTCATCACAGCAAAAGTAGCAACACGAACTCGTTAAGCTCTAAACAAGTCTAGAAAAAAAATTTCTCTACTTTTCTCTTATTTTTGGATTCAAGATATATAGGAAGGTAAGCTAAAGAATAGTCGTAATTACCGATTGCCGAGAAGCTTATGCATGCGGATGATGAGATCTTCTTCTTCTGGGGACATCCCACCTCGTTTTATGTTTGGTCTCAAGTAATTCTTCCATCTCAATCTACAGCTCTTGCCTCCCCTCTTTAAACCTGACTAGAGAGATATGTAGTGAGTCTCAAGGCCGAGTCCTTCTGTGATTTATCTAATCATCACTGTTCACGTCCCAATAGAATCATTCATCACTTGTTTATACCATTTGGGTTCCCTATGATGTTCAAAATCGAAGTTACATACGAAATTTTTCGCGTGATGAGAGCTATACGACCGACTATAATTGGAGTGTAATTGTACCGGATCTTTGAGAGACAACTGCCCAGTTGCCTTCACCATGCGTCTCGACGTACTGTTTCAGCATCATATCCTCTTCTGGTCTCCACAAGCCCTTCTTGATCACTCTTGCCTTCATACTCTCTCTCTCTCTCTCTCTCTCTCTCTCTCTCTCTCTCTCTCTCTCTCTCTCTCTCTCTCTCTCGTGGGAATAAGTGTGCTGTTAGAAAGAGGTAAAATGTGAAAGGATTTTATAGATAGAGAAAGTGTGTTTTGTGTGCGTGGGTGGAACTGAAAGTGATCCTGAGGAAAAGTGAGAAGAGGCACTCGTGCATGCCATGGATCACACCATTTGCCAGATTTCCAATTGCTTGTGAATGTGGAAGTGAGAGGGACCCCCTCTTCTTCTGTTTAATCACTCTCGTGCTTCTTCTTTTCTTTTCTTTTCTTTTCTGTTTTTGTGTGTGGCATTTCCCCTTAAAGGAAAAGCAAAATCTATCCTTCCACTTCCATTTGCTGGAAGCCTATACCTTGTGGGAGAAGAAGGCAAAACACATCACCCATATGCAGATTTAAGGCGACATTTAATGTTGCAAACCCTTGCGTGTTTCACGTTCCAATTTTTCAATCTCACTTTAGAGAAAGACTCGTTTGTTTTGAAAACTTTAGCTTTATCATCAAGTCATATTAAGCTAAAAATCCTTCAGAAAGCTAAATCCCAGAAATCATGATTAGAAAGGGTTGCTTTTAGGAGAGAATGATCCGCTTGACTTCAAGAAAACAACTTCGTAGAATTTGATATTCTAGTTACGAGTAGTACTGCGCTCTTTCAATACATTTGAAGTCCATAGCATATTCAATGCACAACATTTTCCAAGTTTCAAGTCATCCAGCATGTGTATAACATAATATAATATATCTACAATCCACAACATTCGTGTCCAAAGAGTTTTGCTTATGAAGTGTAATTTAACTTAATCTGCAGTCATCCATTTGGTCTTGGCTTCGTTATGAGTTTACAAAGATATCTTGGTTCCTTGCTACTCAATAGAGCCAGACATGGCTCGTTCGAGAATTCGAGAAGGGGCTGCCTCCGTTGTAGGCCTGGCTTCGCTGATGACAACACAGGCAACGTACTTTATCGCCATGGACGATCACACACACGCACAACAGAGGCTGGACAAACTTGGCCAAAAACTTGCAAACAATGACACCGACGGTGGTAGCTCGAATTTGAAGGCACGACGGTGGTTTTGGAGGTAGCAACGTCAAAGGATGACGCAACGGCGGCAATGGAAACCGGGCTCGGTAGTTAAGGGAGTGGAGAGAGACAGAGAACTAAAATGTTAAGGTTTGCTTCCTGAAGATGTGTTTTTTGTTAGGGTTTTCTCATGTAATATGAAGTTGCAGGTGGGGAAATTAGGGAAACGCCGATGACAACCATGTGTCTAGGCAGAAACGTTGATGTTGCTTTTCAACAATAGTAAAACCTTAGAAAAATTATCCAATCAGTCCTAAACATATCGTGTATATATCAATTTAATCATAAACATTTTAAATTTGTTAATTGAGTCCTAAATCTGTGCGTGAAATTCCAATGTAGTATTTCGGCTCAATTTTCGCCGAAATTCGCTGATATGGCAGTCCAATCATAGCCGGCCGTCCTATGTGGCACATTGTCACGTCAACGATTTTCGACGAAAATTAACTAAAATGATCACGTTGGAATTTCGCATAAGAATTTAGGACTAAATTGGCAAAATTGAAAAGATTAGAACTGGACTGATCAATTGCTGCATACAACCTTCCCCAAACATAAACTAGAATATATGCTAGGACCAAACATCTTTGAATTTGCTATCCAAGTGCCATTTGTACCACCATATCGTCATTAAGTGCGCTAATAGAGACTACCTAGTTATACATGAGCCTTTGATTAAGAAATGGGCATGGTCCATTCAATTGTAGCTGACCACACATCCAAAATGTATTTAACCCTAATCACCATAATACCTCTCTCTCTCTCTCTCTCTCTCTCTCTCTCTCTCTCTCTCTCTCTCTCTCTCTCTCTCTCTCTCTCTCTCTCTCTCTCTCATCACTATTAGTCGTTGGCAAAATCATTATCCTACTTATCATCTTCAGAGAGTTGACCACCAATTGCTCTTTTTCATTTGGCCTTCGCCACCACCATCTCTCGAATCTCTCAAAATACTCCACCATCGTTAATCTCTCGAACTGCATCTAATTGTCTGGATTTCTAATTAGAATAGGATTGAATATGATAAAATATAAAATTCAAGAATGTTGCTATATCATATCCACTGTTTGATGAATCGCAATAATAAAACCGGATATTTTTACATCCTATCATATCCATTGTTTGGTATGAATGGTATATCAGTGTAAATGAACCTAAAAATTGCACAAACAGAGATGTTAAAAATCTCTCACGACACTCTTGCTTGCTTCATTTTTGTTTGCTTATTCTTTATTATTTTTTCCTCTCATTTTTTTAATTCTTTTTTCCCCTTCCATCATTCTCTAATAAAATTTAATTACATAGTAAACTACATTGATATACCTAAAATACTATAATAGCTAAAATATGTCATATATATTGAATTTATATTATAAGATAGAAAGAAATTTGAATTTACAAATAAAAATATGAATAAATAAAAATAAGGGAAAATGACACAAACAATCCCTAAACTTTAACCCAATGTGCAATGTGGTCCCTGAACTTTTAATTTATTCAATGTCATCCCTGAACTTTTAATACATGTTCAATTCAATCCCTGAACTATATGAAAATATTCAATGTAGTCCTTTCCATTAATTCAAGTTCAGAGACTATATTGAATATTTTCATATAGCTCAGGGAGTAAATTGAACATGTATCAAAAGTTCATGGATGACATTAAACAAACTAAAAGTTCAGAGACCACATTGAAGATTAGCCTAAAGTTCAGGGACTATATTAAACAAATTAAATATTCAGGGACCAAATTGCAAATTGGGCGAAAGTTCAGGGACTGTTTGTGTCATCATCCCTAAAAATAAAATTGTTGTTATTTTTTGTTATTTTCAATTTTTATATTAGAATTCAAATATTATTTATATTCAAATATTATTTTAATTTTAATAATTTAAGAAGTTTTTTTGCAAGAAAAATAACATTTATATTATGGATATTAGAAATTTTATCAACCTTTTATCACAACTACCCCATTGGATAATTTTATCCATGTTATATTCCTCTTATATTCAACTTTATCATATCTTGGGCAAGAACTAAATACAGAATATCATAAATTTATCATATCCCAAATTTTATCGTCACTACTAGACGTAGCCTCGGTATTTCTACATGGCGCGAGTGTGTGACAAAGAAAATGTCAAATCATATAAACTGCTCTTGGTAAAGTCACTTGCAAGCCTGTCAAATGGGTTATAAACCCATTTCTTAACTCATATTTAATAGGTTGGATTGTTATATGGGTTACTTATATTCAGTATATGGGTCATAAATGGGTTTAGAATAGTAAAGACCAAAATAATGTGAATGTTAAATGGGTTCACAATTTACTTGGACCCAATCCACCTCTTATGACTCTCTTTTCACTCTCTCTCGCTCTTACTCGATCTTGCGCTCGCTCGTTCATGCTCTCATTTTAGTTTGGTTATGAATTTTCTTAGATTATGCTAAATATAAAAGTATTTTAGCAGCATGGGTCAGGTCAGGTATATATTGAGCCAGATATGAGTCACTAGATTTGTATTGCATGAAAATTGATCAATTTAGGTCAGATCAATTTTAATCTTACCCAAACTCGACGTGACCTATCAATTTGACAAATCTACTTACAAAGATCAAAGGTCTAGAATTAAGTAGTTTGTGACTACGAGCCTTGCATGGTATTTCATGAACTTTCACATAACCAAGTCTATGTTTGTGCCCCAATGGATCGTTGAAATAAGCATATCATGTGAACTGACATCTGATATTGAGGATGAATTCCAAAACTCCCAATACCAATTGAGGCAAGCCTAAAAGGTACTTGGGTTTTCGCATGATAGATATAGCTTAAAATTCAAGTTGAACTTCCTATTTGCGAAAAGAAAAAGATCACCTCCTGCTACAAAACTTGAAAAGTGATTCCTATTTAAGCGTTGTACATTGATGCCCTACAACTTTGGCAGGATTCAAATGCATTATTATTCTCCTGTCCTGTCGTTGCTTTATCAGTCATTATCGCCTTGTAAAGTCACCCAATACTTCATGTCTCCCGTACTTGAAAAGTATGAATTTTAGGTGAATAGCATAACAAGATGACAAAGTGTTCCCTGTGGATCGACTACAATCCATCCTTACTTTTCTAACTGAGTTCTTGGATATGCTTGGTGGGTTTCCTTTATTTTGTGCCATGACCAAAGCTGCCATATTATCTTGGGTTACCTCCCCATGCCACTTGGTGGATTTTCTTTTTCTTTACAGATGGCAAAAGTCAGAGTTCTCTCTATCGAGAAATTCTCAGGTGATTTCAGATCACAACTTCATCGGCCATCTAAGTAAATCACCAGAGTGTCAATTATTATGAATTTTTTCTTGCGAAATAATAGCACATTTGCAAGTGATAATTGACTTGAATGAATAAAAATGTCGTCCTTTTGGGGGAGCACTTGAAACCTCCCCTCTACTTGACATATATGCAACCCACAAGATGGGAATATACTTGGCATGCGGAAGTATCGTCACTTACACCAATCCACCAAATCTTTTTGCCTATTTGTCGCATATTAGATGACGATAATTGCACACATTCTGACAAACAAGAAAACCTAATGATTGCGTCACACACGTGTATGTCGGTGAACACTAAACTTTCGTGCATTTTGCAATTTAGTTACTGAACTTTCATTTCAATCGCTCAATACACAAGACTTTAATTTCCATTTAAGTGATGCACTTTGATTAGAATTCAAACCATCGACTCGGTTCTAACACGGCTGCCACATATCATGGACGCGGAGTCTAAGTGCAAGCCATGCGCCCTTAGGGCTAACGTAACATCTACTTGGACAGCATGTTATCTCCATGTGGTCGCCATGTTAGCATCATATGAAAAACTAGTCTGATTTCAATCAAAGTCCACTAATTGAAAAAAGGAAAAATAAAGGTAGTTCAGTGACTATAGAAGAAATCAGAGCTCGGTACATTGGTCGATTGAAATCGTTGTCAATGAAAATTTGCTCATCTTTTTTGCTCATCAAATGGGTGTCTAACGTCGGCAAACTACAGTAGATACCAGTGCAAAATAATATGCCCCGATCCTCATGGAATCACAAGTGCACAGGCACAAACAGAAGGAGCTAATTGGAGCCTTTGTCGAAACTGATGTTACCAGAGTTCTGAAATGGTAAAGCAAGATAGTGAAAGGCGGTGTTCCCACTGGGCACACCTCTCGAAGTTCATGTGCTTTACCC